ACCCACCCACTGTGGTGTCCACTCTCCATGCTAAAGCATGGTATACTGCCAAGAGTGTGGGCTTGATGATCAGAAGAACTTGGCTTTAGGGGCGCCTGGGTGGCTCAGTGGATTGAGCAGTTGAGCCTCCGACTTCAGCTCAGGTCCTGATCTCACGGTTCCTGAGTTCAAGCCCCGCCCTGCGTCAGGCTCTCTGATGGCAGCTCAGAGCCCGGAGCCTGCTTCGGATTCTGGGTCTCCCTCTCTCTCTGCCCCTTCCTTGCTCACACTCTGTCTCTGTCACTCTCTCTCAAAAATAAACAGATGTTAAAAATATTTAAAAAAAAGAAAGAAAGAAAGAAAAAGGGGAACTTTGCTTTGAATGTTAGCTCTGTCACATGCTAGTTCTTGATGCCCTGGAGTAATTAGCTAATGTTCAGAACCTACTGCTCCATTTGTAAAATGGTAATAAATAGTATCTATGTCACACAGTTGTAGGACTCGAATAAAGTGTATGTTTTTTTTTTTTTGTGTGTGTGGAAAAATCATCCAACAAATCGTGGGACAGCTGTAAATTCACTGTCCTCAATCTCGACTGCTCCCTCAATACTGTGACATTTCTTTTCTTTTTTTTATAAATTTTTTTACCTTTATTTATTTTTGATAGACAGAGAAAGAGCACTAGTCAGGGAGGGATAGAGAGAGAGAGACACAGAATCCGAAGCAGGCTCCAGGCTCTGAGCTGTCAGCGCAGAGCCCGACGTGGGGCTCGAACTCACAAACCGTGAGATCATGACCTGAGCTGAAGTCAGATGCTTAAGTGACTGAGCCACTCAGCCACCCCTTATTTTATTTTATTTTATTTTATTTTATTTTATTTTATTTTATTTATTTATTTTTTTAATACTGTGACATTTCTTCCATGTTTCATCATTTTATTTTCCTCACTCTCTCCAACCACTATTTCAAACCTCTGCTTTCCCACACCTCAATTAACCTACCTCCCTCTCATTCTTAGCTGATGATCTCGCATATAATTTTTTTTAATGTTTATTCCTTTTTGAGACAGAGCATGAGCAGGGGAGGGGCAGAGAGAGAGGGAGACACAGAATCTGAAACAGGCTCCAGGCTCTGAGCTGCCAGCAGAGAGCCCGACACGGAGCTCGAACCCACAAACTGTGAGATCATGACCTGAGCTGAAGTCAGACGCTTAACTGACTAAGCCACCCAGGTGCCCCAATCTCACATATAATTTTAGGGAGAATTTAGAAGGTACTTCAACTTCCACCAAGGCTATAAACACAACCTGCATCTCTACACACAACTACTTGTCTATATCAAATCATTTAGCAAATATTTGTTAAATACCTTTAATGGGTCAGACACTGCTCTAGGTATTGGTGATGGGTCAATGAACAAAACAGATAAAGTTCATGCCGTTGCAGAGCTTACGTTCTAGGAATGATATAAAATGAATATGGAACGAGTTACAGAATGATATGCTACGGAGAAAAATATAGCAAGGTTAAGGGTTATAGGGCATTCCAGGAATAGTTTACCCATTTTATAGAGTGATCATGGAAAGCCTCAAAGATAAGGTATCACTGGAGCAGAGACGAAGTAAGTAAGGGACTTGGTCACACAGTTATCTGTGGGAAGAATGTTCGAGGTCAAGAGAAAATAATCAGGTTTTGAGACCCCTGAGGGAAAAAACATGCTTAGCATATTGATGGAACAATATGCAAGGAGACTAATGTGACTAAGGCAGCACTGAAGAAGGTGAGAGAGGTGGTGTGGGGCCAGACCTTGTGCAGCCTTTTATTTATTTATTTATTTATTTAAAAGTTTTAACATTTATTTATTTTGGGACAGAGAGAGACAGAGCATGAATGGGGGAGGGGCAGATAGAGGGGAGACGCATTGGGACAGAATAACAGGCTCCAGGCTCTGAGCCATGAGCCAGAGCTTACTGCAGGCTGGAACGAACTCATCTTTTAGGACAGAGATTCTGACCTGGCTGAAGTCGGACAGCACACTGGCCGACTCAGCCCAAGGCTCTGGTGCAGCTGCTTACAAGCCTAGACAGAATTATGTTTTGAGTGTCGGCACAAAAAGGATGTGCTACAAGAAGAAATTGACATGATGCTTCTCTAGTTTGAAAGGATCACTGTGGATACTTGATGAAAATATACAGAAAAAGGAAACTGGTTGAAGGGTTACTGCAACATACAGGCATGGGACAAAAGCAGTGGTGGGGACTAGGGGGTGGAAGGAAGGGTGGGAATGAGCCCATGCTGCTTTGAGGGTGCGCTTACAGACTCTGCTCAACGGGATGGGACGTGGGGTCTGAGAGCAGGAGGAGCTGTCACAGGATGCTCCAGGGGTTTGGAATGGAACACACAGCCATTGAGCTGTGGGAAAACTTGCAAGAATGTATAGGGAATATCCAGAGAGGAAAATCAGAAGTTTGATTCCAGGTACTTTGAATTTAAAATTTCATTATTTTGTCAAATATTAGCTGAAATGAGTCCAACCTAGGACCAGGCTAAGCATATTGGTTTTTGTTGTTTTTTTTTTGTTTGTTTGTTTTTTTTAGTATTTATTTATTCTTGAGAGAGAGAGGGAGAGACAGAAAATATTAATTTGAAAGCTGTTGCAATGAGATGATACATGAAGTCATAATGCAGATAAATAAGAGAAGTCCAGGGATTGATTTCTGGAACAATCCAATGCTTTAAAGTTCAGGAGATAATGAGAAATCAGCAATGGAGACCAAGATGGAAATGCCACCATGAATAAAAATGGAATTATTTGGATGAGAAAGTAAGTAAAAATACTCTGGAAAGAAAATAATGGCATGGTATATACAGGAAAATACATGTAATTAAAAACCACTAGAATATAAAGTGGGAAGCCAGAAATTTAGACAAGACTCATGTGTTGCCAAACGAGGGAGACTGGCCTCTGGTCTGTGGGACACGTAGAATAACTGAATACATAGAAGACATAGAATCGAAGAGTTAAAGTTGATTTTAGACCTCCAGCTTCAGGGTGAAGGATGGATTTTTACAGCGCTCTGGGAAGGGAGTGTAGGCAAGAATGTAAATAGTGAAACCCTATAGGAGACTGCAATGTCTCAAACAAAAGAGATGATTGAGATCCTGAATTAGGGTAATGATAAAGAAAGAAAGAAAGAAAGAAAGAAAGAAAGAAAGAAAGAAAGAAAGAAAGAAAGAAAGAAAGGGAGAAAGAAGGAAAGGAAGGAAGGAAGGAAGGAAGGAAGGAAGGAAGGAAGGAAGGAAGAAAGAAAGAAAGAAAGAAAGAAAGAAAGAAAGAAAGAAAGAAAAAGAAAGAAAATAAGAGAAAGAAAAGAAAAAGGGGTTGGAACCAAAAAAGAAAAATTAGGAAGTAAAAACATCAGCAGGATTTAGATATTGAGGGAGGGCCAAGGAAGCCAGAGAACTCTGGCAAGGCTGCCAAGCTTCCAGAAAGGTGGAGAGTTGGAAGGCTGAGCTGGATGGCAGTGGCATTAACCAGTAAAAGAAACAGATGAGTCATGGTCTGGGAAGGGAGAAGGGGGTGACTTCGGCTTTTGATGTGCTGCATTTGAAGTGTCAGTGGATTAAGGAGCCATGTTTGGCAGGGAGATATGTAAGTTTGCAACAGGAGAGGTCAGAGCCGGAAAGAGATTTGGGAATTGTCAATACAGAGGTTATAGATAAAGAACCAGAAAGGATAAGATCATCCAGGACAGGAGTCAGCATTCTCCTTCAAACCTACAACTAAGGCCAGGAGGGCAGTAAGAGAGATAATAGGAAAGAAGCAAACATGGCAGGGGGAAGGAAAAAGGGGTAGGAAACAAAAATAGGTAGAGAGTAGAAGAAAAAAAGGCTGTATGTACAGCATTTTAGGCCAACCATACCATTAATTCTGTGCAAATACCTGTGGTTTTATTTTTAATATCCTTTCCCAGGTCATACAGCATTTTTACCAGCCTTCTGACCACAGATGCATTTCAAACAGATTACTTCCGGGAACAATTTGCAACAATGCCTAGACCTATCTTTTTTTTTTTTTTTTTAACCTGGCCAACTAAAACCACAACATTATTGCCGGAACAAAGTTTATTTCAGTTCAACAAACATGTACTGACTAAGTGCCAACAGTATAGAAATAAGTAAGGCATAGTCCTCTGCACCCAACTTTTAACCAGGGTGAAAGACTTAGAAACAAATACTTAGTCAGAATGATCTTTTCACAATATAAATTTGACCCTATCACTCTACTTAAAATCTTCCGTAGCTGAGACTGCTATTTTTCCCCCAATGTCCACAATTTGCTTCTTCTGACATGGTTAATATGGTTAACATGGCCACTGAGAATAAAGACTAGATTCCTAACCTTCTGTGCAAGTAAATGTGGCCATATAACTAAGTTCTAAACTAAGTGGAAATGGCATCGCAACTTCCAGAAAACATCCTTAAAGAGAGGGACACTTACTTCTACTCCTCTATCCTACTTTCTTTGACCTGCTGTCTGGAAGGTAGACATGATGGCTGGAACTGGAGCACCCATCTTAGGCCAAGAGGTGATGTTGGAAACGGAGGATACACAATAAGCTGTGGACTGGCTACAGACTTTGAATATAGAGAGGATTAGTTACATTGTTATTTTGTTATTATTGTTTCTGGTGGCGAACAGCCAATTAATATACTGTTAGTGTGATAATTATAGCTATATCCACCTTCAGCTCTATCCATCCATTCATCCACCCTGCTGTCTGACTCTTAAGTAGAAATGGAACACACCACAGAATTAGGATCAGAAATATAATACTAACCCAGTGCAAAAATAATATTTACAAAGTGAAAATTCAAGTATTTACCAACAGACACATTAATGTAAACAAAGCAATACACTCACTAAGTGCAACATTAACAAAAAGACGTAAAGTTCATTCTTCAGACATCAGTATTATTGATTTCCAACTTCAAGATAACTTTACTAATATTTCAACTTACTTCTTTTGAAGGATTCATTGGTAATGTAAAGATAGTTTTCCAATATGACCAGACGAACATTGCAAAAAGTAGATGATAAGCAATCAGGCACACAACTAAAATGAGAAAAACATAATTATCATTAAAATATGCAAATACACATTAAAATCTTAGTATTCACAAAAGATCTGCTTGTTCTAAATGAAACAAATTCTTCAATAACTTAATTATTTCATATCCCATGATTAGAAAGCTCTCATCTGTAGACACCCCCAATCTATTAGCCAAATGGCTAGAGAGACCTTTCCTATATTATAAAAGTCAGGCAGCTGTGCCTTCAACTTTAAATAATAAACACAGCATTAAAAAAATGTTAAAACTTCAGGCTTAAAGAACTTCACTGACGAAGAATAGCAAAACCAGTTCCTATCTGAGGAGGTATTTGCTAATTTGGCTTAGGTGTAGTCAAATCTGTTGGCACTGATTGTTCTAATAACTATATATTTAAACAGAGACCATCTGGACAAAGAGAGATTTCCTCCAACAGGAGTTCAAGTGTCTTGTTTACCACATGGGACAACTTTTAAGAAAAGTATACTTTGTTCAAGCAATGTATATAAACACACTTTGTATGGTGTTTTAGTTGTGAAATACTGTATTAGGCAAGCACAAAATATTCTGTATGTGGTGATAATGAACAATTCTGGAAAATACACTAATATATAAATAAATTCTATAAGAGACAGTTGAATAAAATGTTAGTTTAAAACACAGCATGCTTGGTATTTTAAACTGTATGACAATTTCTTACAGCATGATGATACACATAGAATCATTTAAAAATTCAGTAATCCAATGAGGCACTTAAATCAGTGTGAAATGGCTGCAGCTAATGATATTTTCCATGAACTATATGGATGACTCAGGAATGGGGTAATACTCTGAGTTGAAACAGGAGATTGTTGATATTCCTGTATTTTGAAGCCACCAAGAATCTTTGGCACAATGGCTACCATTTCAAGGGAGAGGTCTTTGCCAAATGTCTAACAGAGTTCAGTCTGGGGACTGAGAGAAGTCTTTAACCCCACCATGACTCCACATTCTCAAAGTATAATTTATTAATTCCAACCAACTCTACAGGAATACTATTTTTAAAAAACTACTTTTACAATTTCACATCTAAAACAATAACAAAACATATCTTACCTTGTTCTCCAACGTTTTCCATGGACACTATAGAAATAAGCAGAAAACAGAGGTTAGTAGTAGATTACGACATTTACGGCAAACAACAGAGCCTGACGGAGACATAGGTCACTTGAGTAGGTTAATAATTTGGCTCCCCTTCAAACCAACATCGTTAAATATTTGTTCAATTTTATTTAGAGGAGAGGTGACTACTGCTGGGGGACAGGGTGGAGAAGGAAGGCTGGTATTGTTGGTATTTCAGCCCTGACGCCACACAGAAAACAACCCATCAGGCGTCTCCTTGTGGGTCTTATTCCTATATCAATTACTTTCTTAGCCTTCCTCCCGAATCAGGGTTCAGATAAAAGCAGTGTTCTCCATGTGAGGACATTTTCAGAGGCATGTATTGTTCTTTACAAGTTGGCAACTGCCTTCAGATAACTCTCCAGGAAGACTAAAATGTTGGATCCATGGCACATGCTCTGGTCAAATTTCTAGAAGGGCAAATTGTTATGCCCAATGGCTAATGGCTCCCGAGTGTACAATGAGAGATGCAGGTAATGTGCCTGAGAGACTGTCATCTTTGAGGGGCTTATAAATACCCCAAGGTAGATGAGGTCGCTAGATTAGGGACCGTTCAGCTGAAATGAGCTGGGACAAGAAACAGTATCTAGAAATAACCCGGGCACTTGTCCTACCTCCTATATTGTGTGCTTGTTTTGTTTCCCATTTGGTCTTCCTCCATTTGTACTAAAGTCCATTTTGGAGGTTTTGGCCTATCTCAAAGTTGGAAGTTGTAGCCAGCAAAGATTTGATATTTCCTGGAATTTAATTTCATTGCCTTAAGAAGCACTGGAACCAGAGTGTAATGTTGTGAAAGATTTTTAAGATCATCTGATCCAACAAACATCCTTCCCAAGAGAGCTACTGAATGTTAGTTTAGGGTTTCTAGAGGCAGCAGGAGCCCGTGGTTTTGGAGTAAGTCCATTCCATTATTGGACTGCTCTAAAGAATGATTACAGCATTATAGTGTGCTGAAATTAGTCTCTTTGTGGCTTCTTCCTATGGTATCCAGGCTTCTAACATGTAGCATTAAACAGAAAATCTAAATGACAGACCTTCACGTATTTAAAGTTATTGAGTCTCCATGAAATTTTCTCTTTTAGTCCAAATATTACATGACTTCCAGATCTCTCGCCAACCTTGATGTGGCTCCTTTAAATACAGTACTTCTTTGATTCTCAATTTCCTTTAACGTTTTTTTAACATTTTTTAAAATTTATTTTGAGAGACAGAGAGAGAGAACACACGCATGTGAGCAGGGGAGGGGCAGAGAGACAGGGAGAGAGAGAATCCCAAGCAGGATCGGTGGTGACAGCACAGAGCCAATGCAAGGCTTGATCTCACCAAGTGTGAGATCATGACTTGGGCCGAAATCAAAAGTCAGATGCTTAACCACTTGAGCCACTGAGGTGCCCCTCCTTTAACATCTCTAATGCCCAGAATGGGACAGGCAGACAAGATGGTGACCATGCGAACACCTTTGATATTATCACTATGGGTCACAATTTTAATTTTCACTTCAAAAGTTTATTTGCCTAATTTCATCTGGCATTAGCCTAATTACTTTCTGGTCTGTACCCTACAGTGGTAATATTTTGCTTTAGAGATTTCTAACTTTCCAATATCCCTGGGAATTTAAACCTCTTCGCCAACTAACTGCGGTACAACTAGGCAACAAGGACTCTGACTTGTTGAAAAAGCCTAAGGAATCCCCACACTTTCTTGGCACTGATGGCGTACAGGAAGAGAGCAAGTGAGGATGGTAAATCATCATCCGAGTTATCAAAGATGTTCCCGTTTGCCGCGAGCACAGTGATGGCCTTCAAGGATTCCATCTTGGAGTCTGGAACCAGCCTAGACACTGCAAGGCTGGCGGACTGGGTCACCAGTTCTGGTTTCCAGATGCCCTGTCCTCCTAGCGCTCCCCTCCCTCATTACTCATTCCTCTAAGAAATGGAATGAGGCGTCCGAGAAAAGGCTGAGTGGTCAGTTATCAGTTCAGAATTACTAAGAGTGAGACTTTCCGTTGCAGTATTATCTTTAAAAAAACTCTTGGGTAGGGGCGCCTGGGTGGCTTGGTCGGTTAAGCGTCCAACTTCGACTCAGGTCATGATCTCACAGTCCGTGAGTTCGAGCCCCGCGT